AATTCCTTAACTGTCGTACCATGCGGTCGTTGCTTGCTTGCCACTCTCGCGGTTCCCAGTCGGCACTCAAGAACTGGGTGCACAGACAATTTGACCTCAGATCTATAGACCTCAAAGACCATCCGTTAGTTTTTGTCATGCTGCTCTTGATATTCCATAAGTTCAACCGAATAAACAGGTCAGCGTTTGTTTAATCCTATCATCTTATATTTAAGTGATTGGAACAATGATGGCACTGGAAATTTTATTTCTTGCATTTTTAATCATGAGAGTTTTTAAGGCGAATTCGGAGCATTTGTTTTACAACAATTTCAAGGGATCGTGAATGTAGTACGCCTAAGGAGTAGAAAGATGGAAAACGTAGCTTCAAAGCACATTCTCCGATCTTCAAGTCTCCAAAAGTTCATACAAAACCGCTGCAATTCCATACAACGAAAATAAAAGAACTTAACGACTTTAATAATTTCTACCGTATTACCAGGAGTACCGGTGATTATCTTCCCTTAGTCATCCGCGTAATTAGTATCGGTAGCATATCGGTTCATGTATGAAAGCCGTAAACTGAAATATCCTCATTACACACCACAACGTTGGTGTTTCAGGCATGAAGGCGCTCGGTGCTTCTCCGTGTGGATCTATTGACGCACTCCTCGATAACTATACGACGGTGAGGTGTGGCCTTGTTGTCCCTCATAGATTTTTTTTCAAACTCATTTACAGAGTAGGTGTCGCGTGACAGTACCGTAATCTGTACAGAGAAGCAGCATTCTGAATATGTACTACCTTCCCATTTATGGCTTGGATTTGTACGGCGGAAGCGTACCTTACCCTTGCCTCTTGTCGCCAACGGAGACGATTTAGGCGGCTACGACTCATTGCATTTAAACGTATGCAGCGCTTCGCATGCAAGACCGTATCTTTGGGTTCGATTCAATAACTGCATGTTCGAGCACCGACAGAAAAGCTCCTATCCATCGTATATGTAGTATTCAGTTTAATGACATAAAAGCAAGATATGCAAAGAGATTTGACGAACTTCTTGCACCGGTATTCCGTCAGTAACTCTTTTGGCATTTCTTTCCATCACACTGTCTGTTCAATACATCATTCATATAATATAATATTTTCTTCTTTTCAGTTTGCATTTCGTGACCATTGTGATTTTTAACAGGATCTAGTTGTCTCTGTCATCAATTCTAAATTCTCCTTCCAGTTAATTGAATGGACATTTGCTTTCCTGTAAAGATGATGGCACACAAGAGGGTATGCAGATCAGTCTTTCGATACAAAGGTGAGAAATGATCATCATCTTCGGCTTTTTGGTCCACTTCTGCATGAATGCATCTCCAAGACATTGCCATTAACTTATGCTTTTGGTGGTTTTTATTCATCTTGATGTAATGGACTTCTTCAGCCGAACCAGCCATCGATCTGGAAGTATTTCACGGTCTATTGATTGTCTCTCTCTCTTAGAATCCAGTCTAGTTGTTCTTTGATCCAATGACCATATGTCCTTATTGAAACGTGTCTCGCCTGTTGTTA